GTGCAGTTGATATTCCACTAGCATTGAAGTCTCCCTAACACAAGGAGAAGTTTTTTTTGGTGTATTTAACAGAGAAATCCTGACATGCAGGATGGCCATACGCCCCACCTAAAATCTCATGAAACCCCACAGTCAACCACAATGCAAACCTGGGGTTCCTCAATCATAATTTGGGGCCCATCCCTCTTCTCCTAGTGAGGATGGTGGTAGGACATACAACCAGTCATGACAGGCTGCAGGCACCACCTGATAGTAATATAGATCTCATCTATGCTGTATATAGGTGCCGTGGCAAAAGCAACCTTTGCTCTTGGCAGGAAGACTGCAGTGATTGCTGCCAAACTTGAGTAAACAGTGATGATGTAGCAGCTGTAACTTCTGCTATGGAAAAAGAAAACATAACAAACAGGAACTTCTGCTTTTACAGGAGCCTTATCGTTTTGGCTCCGTAACCTGACCTTGTTTGCTCAGATGCTAAAGCAAGGCATCCTGGTTCCATAATATTCCTCCTGAGGTCCTTTTCTGCATCTCCCTCCTATCCTGGACTCTTTCAGCTAGCCCAACCCAGTCATCGTTCCCTCCAGGCTCAGGATGCTACCATCTACCCAGCTGGCTGATGTGTATCTCCCATCCCATTGAGCAGCAGCTACAGCCAGCAGGGCTCCGTTATATTGCCCCTTTTTGGTACATCTTTTAATCCCTGCCAGGTCTCACCAGGTAACACCAGGAATTTGCATACTAGATAGAAAAGACATAGAGCATCTTTCTAAGCACTCCTTCTTTGACCAGTCTATTACTGTAACTGTCTCTTGGCCTTGACACCTTTCTGGACAGAGGTCTCTCTACTTCACTGGCTTCTGATCTGGTTCCTCACTCCAGGGACTGGCTTTAGCCCTGCAAGCGCTGTTCTCATTCATCCGTTTCTTCCCCTCCTGGTTCCCACTCCAGAAAAATACATGCAAACCACTGCATCAGTAAACTCCAAGGATCCAGCATGGCTCCTCAAAAAAAGGAGCTCCACCCTGCCCTGCAGATGTTTCTACAGTTGTCAAAAATTTAATATCATATGCTGAACCCTCTACTTCCCTGCAAAGCACGGGGCTCCGTGCCACAGGCAGCCATGTTCCACATCAAAATGGACAGCACCATCCCAGCTCCCGTGTAATCATGTTTGCTTTTGGCCAACTGGGCACATGCTCAAAGGGGGACATTGGCACAGCTGCGCCATTAACGCAGGGTAACATGAATATAGTAAACGCTTGGAAACTGGCTGCTACTTCTGCAGCCCATGCTCTATATACTGCCAAAAATTTCTGTATCCCCTTGATCCAAACCAGGAGATACAAAAACTAAACTAGGCAGAAATTTATACAGTGCTCAGTATCTCATATCACTAATGGCACCACTTACCGCTCCAGGCATCCTAGAAGTGAGGCACAACAGTTAGCCTGGGTCAGAGGAGATTTCTGCTCCATGCAGGAGGCTCCCAGTACTGTCAGGAGACGTTTTGCAGGCAGAATTGTACTGCGTTACGTTGTTTGAAATCAAACAAGGGATAGCAAGCCGTATTGTTCTAGTGTGAGCACAACATAAATGTTTATGTAAAAAGAGAGACAAAGATGACAAGAAAACTGGAATAGCACCTTTCTTACTAAAGTGAACCAAGTTTTCAAGTGCTAAGCAGATGTGGGAAGATAATGAAAAAAACTGTTGAAGCCACTGGATATATAAAAGGTCACTTTTTTATGTAACTAGCTTTATCCTTAGACCTTCTATGCAAGTTTCAGAGAGTGGGATGGATTCAGTACAATAGCTGCTGTCTGTTTCTAGATGATTATTCCTTCTGCTTCTAAATTAATAATAGCAAATCTATGCCATGTAAAAATACAGGATGATTCTGTGGACTGTTAACATTTTCAGCAGGGGATTTCAGTGCCTTCTCTTCCTCCATCAGCAGCTGCCACTGTTTTGTCAGTAGCGAGAGCAGCCACCACCGGTTCCCAGAGTTCTGTGTCAGATCTCATGCAAATGGCAGCACTTGCCTTCCTGGGAAGCAACCTGCCCGCAGCGCCGCTGTGCCTTCCTTCTGGGAAAGAGGTGGTGGGAAAGAATGGGAGCAAGCAACAGGCTGCCAGCTGGACCACGCTGAGGACGCTAAAAAAAAAAATAAAAAAAATCCTTCTCTCTCATTTTCCTTCTCTTACTCTGTCCTTGGACTTGCACCTTCTATTCCGTATCACTGTGTCCCAGTGGCTACCAGCAACTCATTTGCAAAAGTCACCTTTGAGGTCTGTACTGAAATTTTCAAAGGAATATCCGAGCATGCAAAAGGGTGTGACTTTAAAAGTCAGCACCAGCTGCAGTAAAGACTGGGGCCAGAGAGCCTCCACTAACTTACAGACTAGCCCAGTTTGCCTCCCACTTAGTGAGGAAGTATCCTCACCTCACCAGACTAGACTGGGCAAAGAGAATCAAGATCATCTAATACTGTGAAGGGGGACACAGCTATTTCTGCATCTCTCCCCAACACACCAAGATGCACTGAAGGCACGTGCCGAGTTCAGTTGCGGAGGCAGGCATCAAGCTTATCTAACGGGCACACTGGCAAATCAATAAAGTTCGTTTTGCATTCAGTTAAGTTCTGAATAGTTTAATCAGAAAAGTAATCTGGAAATAGTGACAAATCTCTTTATTCATTAAGAGCAAGCAGTTCCTAAAAAGCCAAATCCAAGTGGGCTGCTGCAAGTTCGGATCAGCATATGCTTTTTCATTAACAGCATTTGTGTTTACCAGCAGAGAGGATTTTCATGCCCTGAGTTTGTGCCATGGTCCCTTTGAGTCACTCTGATGATCAAAAGGAAATAAAAGCATTACCAACAATTATTACCTGCATGTCCTAGCCACTGCTTCAGGCTCATCATCAAGTCCCTACAGACATTCCCACGGGTACATTACTCATCTCTAATGCAGCCAGCTGTGTCATACAGAAAAATACTGTCACTGTATTCTTCAGTTTCAAAATACTGTTTTTCTTGACAAAGTTTACAGTCAATGAAGAATAATGTGCTTTACTTTTCATATGTGTAGACATGTTTATATTATTGCAACAAGTTTTTCTACTCTGATAGTCTTCCACAACACATAGGCCTGCAAATGATCTATCAGAGTCCCCATCTGTTCTTGATGCCCAAAATGCTAGAATTAGTTTCATTGAGGAACACAAGACTGGGCTGCCAAGTCCTGTGAACACAATTGCTACTTTTCCTCCACATTTTGAAATCTCTGAAGCAAAAACTTTCATTTCTTTATCCAGTAAATGTTTTGTGAGAAACGGATCAACATCATGTGCATCTTTCCTTTTGTGAGGAACAAACTGAAGATCAAGAAGATTTTGCATGACCACGGGTCTGTCTGTAAAGAGTTCACTGGCGGTTTGAGGCATTTTTGAGTGAGTTTATTATAAATCACTAAGCAAACGTTAATGTTCATCGGCGTGAAATGTCTCTCAGAATACTGACACCCATTCAACATCCTCGTCACCCCACAGGCTGTTTAGCATACCATATGCTCAGCTCTGCAGGCCTGTTTGTTCTGGTAGACACAAAGCAAGTTTTACTTGGTGTTACAGCACAATAAATTGAATAAATATAGCGAAGTTACAAGAGCCTGAACTCCCCCCGAGTAATAAAACAAACCTCGGTGATATTCAGGTGCCCCAAGGAACCATCCTAGGGCATCATCATGTGAGAAATAAAGGCATACCGTTGGTTTTGTTTCGTTGGTAGACTCAAAACCAAAGGAATTGTATCAGTGAGGAAGCAGTATTTCAGAAATTATTTCCAAGCCTCACTGCCATTAGAAGACTACATTGGCTCCTTAGGTATATTGCTTTTTCATGTGGCTGTATTTTGGCTTAGCCATTCATCCCTCAAATCGGAGGCAAGCCTACTTACAGAGAGGAGAGTCTATGCAGAAGCTGGGTCAGGGGTCTTTTTGCTCTGAAGCACAGCTGAGTATCACTGCTGGCATTATATACATACTTTAAGACGCCATATCCAAAGAGATACCCAAAGACAGCCAGCATCCAGATCCTATTCCATTTGGGATACCAAACAATCAAAATGCTCAGCTATATACTTTACGAAGCACTAACTGAGATCTATGGAGTAGGAATTATTGGTTTTAAACTAACTTTATGAATTATAATTTATGCTTTCCAGAAAGCTTCCAAAGAACCTCATGCATGCCTATTTATTGCTAAGAGATCAGAAAACATAGGATGATTCATGAAAATAGCTGTTACTGTTACCCAAGACAGTCATGACCCAAGTGCCTGCTTGCAACTGTACAGCTCCAGCCTCAGTGTGCCTGCACATCTTGGAACAAAAATGCTCTGGAGAAACAGCGCTTGCACTAATGTTGCAATCCAGCATTTGCACTAATGTCATAACCTACCTTAAAAGCTGCTTGTATATGATGGAAGCGCACTGTTAAATCTTTATATAGTCTTCGCTAGCAAATTGCATTCATTTTTCCACACTTCTGCTTAAGAACTGAAGTTGAACAAAACTGGGAAGTCCTCTCTGTGATGGGGGCCCAAAGTACATTTTTATGGGAAAACACACCTTTCCTGCCCTGCACAGGGGACCTGAAAAATGTTTCAACATTTGTTTAAAGTGATTTTTCTCATGCAAATTCTCATTTAAAGGTTTCCAGTTTATGGTCACTGATTTCAAATTAATAAGCAGAAGGCTATTTGAATAAAACATAATATAGTGCTTTGTAAAGTAAAGCTGCTAATCTGATTTAGATTGTTTCAATTTCCAGCTCCGTGACTCTCGGTTTCCAGTCAGCAGCCTTGTTGAAGGCTATGTGTCCCTAAGTTCCTCGAGATATTTTTATTGTCAGAAATTTATATTAATAGCACTGATGAGAAGAGCCCGCTAACACTCCAATAATGGAAAGTACACATAAAATAAAGCAGATTTAAAAACCATCAAGACAATGCATTTTTCTCATTTATTCAAATCTTCTGCAGGAAGTAAACACTGAAAGATTTAAAAAAACTTCACACTGCAGTATGTACAGTTTTGTGACATCACATGAAGAAATTAATTTCTAATAAAAAAATGAGACCAGTTAGATAAATTACTGAAGACACATCACAATAAAACTGGTTGTGGTAAAATCCCGAATTCTTATGTATGGCAATGAAAATCAATATTCCTTTGTTTTACAGGGATGGAATAGTCCTGGTACAATATTTCAGTTACGCAAAATGGAGTCCTGAACTTACATGACTGATTATAGTTGTGTGAGTACTTCATGTTTTAAAAGTAGTTTTGCGTTTGTTTGTTTTTTTTTTTCCCCCCAGACCCTTTTGATTTGAAGCACATTCTTTCACAAAGCTAAAATACCACAGCAGAAGTCATGTCCAGAAGTGGAATACTGTTGTGTTTTGAACTGACCTGACTTGTTAAGACATTTTATTTTTTTGCCAACGCACAGATGCACAGGGTCCCCCATGCACTTTTCATGCAGCAGGTAATCACAACTTTAAATAAAAGTATTTTTCTATACATTCTTCCAGACTTGCAACTGTATACATACATGCAAAAGTTTTTAAACCTATGTGATCATATTTACACTTATACATGGAATATACATAACAAAAAAAGATTAAAAGGTTTTTTTTCCTTTGCATTAGAACAATACAAAATATGTATTTTTCATTAAGGAAACCACTATTTACATCACCTTTTAAAAACCAATTTCAACATATTATAGCTGTAACAAGTCAATATATTTACATTATATATAAATATATATAATATATACTTACCAGTTTACTCCTCTGTAAGATGTGGCAGAGAACAAACTGGTAATATCATGTCACTGACGTCAATGAGAGCTGTAATACTTTCACCAACATTTAACAGGGAAAATTTAAACCGTTCATTTCTTTCTTTTAAAAACATTGGTAAATTAAAAATTTAAAAACATTACTAAGAGTAAATGGCTAAGAAAAGTGAAAGTACTTACCAGTTTACTCCTCTGTAAGATGTGGCAGAGAACAAACTGGTAATATCATGTCACTGACGTCAATGAGAGCTGTAATACTTTCACCAACATTTAACAGGGAAAATTTAAACCGTTCATTTCTTTCTTTTAAAAACATTGGTAAATTAAAAATTTAAAAACATTACTAAGAGTAAATGGCTAAGAAAAGTGAAAGTTATGGCTGAATTCCCTTTTGATCTCGTAATGTCGACAAACTTCTCCAACTGAGCCGCATGGTTACATGGTATCAGTAGAGAAGCCCTCCAGCAAAACAGTTTTGATTCTGTAGTCATGCGTTACCCCCCATCATTTCCTTGAACTCTGGCAGAGCAGACACTAGAAATCTGGCCATCTCAGTCCCGTACACTTTCCTCTGGAAAGAAAAGGCGTATCTGCGTGGCAATTACAAGTCAATCCCCAAATCTAGCTAGCTTGAATGCTGCACCCCCACAGCGGGTGAAGCCGCACAAGCCAGCAGATGCCCACTGGAGCAAGGCATCGGGCACTTAGCAACCCGACTGCTGCTGCTGCAACTGCTCTAAGTGAGGTTAAAGTTAACTCAGGTGTAAGTCCCAAGGGGCTGCAATTACAACTTTAAGTGTGGTATAGACACATCCCTAACTCACTTCTTCACTGCTCCATGAGGTGGAAGCAGCTTTCCCGCAGCAGTGTCACCCAGCTATGACAGGAATGTGATCTCCTCCCCTCCCTCCCTGCTCCTTTGATGGTGAGATCACACAACAGCACCCATCAATCCTGCAGCTCTTTGCCTACACAGCTACTGCTGCCAATATCTGACAAGGCCCCATTCTTCCTCAAGGCCATAGTCTAAAGGCCTAGCTGAAACTTCAGCCTCCTGAGTTTGCAGAGCTATCTTTGAAGCTTCCACTCCCACAGACTGAGGGAGCATATTGGGGACAGCTGAAATGCATATCCTAGTAGGAAACGTCTACCAAACCAAGGAGACAGGAGTTGCTGAAAATACCAAGCATTGCTCAACAGATGACCGTGGTTCACCATTCATCTACAGGGACTGACGGAAATCAAGGATCTCTGAGGTGCTTGGGAGAATGTGGCCAGCCCTACCAGTCCTTCTGCTGGTGCAGTGCCTGCAGCCCCCTTTTCTGATGGAACAATTCAGAGGGAAAAGTCCCCAAGGAGAATGATGGCGACTTCTTTTTATTCACCCATGCCACAAGATAAATGATGAGAAAGCCTTATGTCCTCAGGTTTAAAGGCTGTAAACGTGGATGGGGTAGATTTTAAAGACGACCTCTCTTCCCTAGGGAGGGGTAACATCAGTGATGCTGGAGAATTTCACATGGAAGACTGTTGCCCTCTTAGCAGCTGTCTGAAAAGCATTCAGTTGGCATGCCCTACCCTCTCTCAAGGGCCTCATCCTTATGTTACGTGCTGCTTGAGACTGCAACGTCTACAAGAGGTAAGATTCTTCCATGAACAGCATGTCCTAAACTTAGATTCTTGTGTATTATAGTTTACTGACGTCTGTGAGAATGGTAATACCCTTTCATTACCATCACCTAAAAAGAAAGCTAAATCATTAACTGGTCAAACTGTTAACATTTTAACTTAAATGTTTTATAAAACTTTAAAAACTAAATATTCAAAAGTATATATTATAGCAATAGACTACCATAGAATAAATACATAGGTAAGCATACTCCTAGACTCCAATATTACTTTTTGTTAGGTTTAGACTCTCCTCCCTACTTTTTGTCTCAACTTTGTTTTGATGAAGTTTTTCAACCAGGTTATTTCACATCCATTCAAGCTGCATTTTTCTGTGGAGCCCTTCAAGTAAATTATAGCCCTGTATTTACTCTGGGGACCATCTATTATTCTATATTGTATATATTTCCTAGCTATATACATGTTGTTTCAAGAAAAATAATCAATTAAGACTTTAAGAGACATTTAATGGATGGAACAAATACCATCTTTTTAATATTTCTGCTGGGTTGACTCATATAAAAAGAATTCAGTTCCACTGTCAATCCAAAATATACTTTATCTCGTTAATGATTATTCTATGAGACATCTGAATTGTCATTGGGCCTCTTATAAATGCAATATTAAAGACAAACAAAATTTTATTTTTATATTATACTTCAGACAATGACATTTAAAATGATATTAGATTTGTGTGAAGGTTTTAAAATATAAATCTTCTTTGTACAGCCCATTAATATATTACGCTTCACCCAAATAACATAAAAATATATCTTTAAATCGCTCTGTTATTTCTCATATAAACCAGGGGAATGTTTTATATCGGATACTGCCAAATATTTGTGTTCCCTAAAAGAAGGTGCCCCCAAGGGGAGTAAAACAGAATAGTGGTGCATTTTCCAGCTGGCAGACAGGAGAAGTCCCTTTCGCAGTAGGGACTGCACTGGAAAGAAGGGAAACTGATCCCAGGCAGGGGGTAGAGGACAAGGAGGGGACAACAGCTTGCTCTGTCTCGGCAAGCCAGCAGCCTGGGGAAAGGATCTCCGAAACCAAACCAGAAAGGAAAAGAGCAAAATGCCCCATCACTCATCTCTGCTATGCAAACGTGAGATGGACAGAAACAGCAGTTTTGTCATGTCTTCGGCTCTGAATGGTGAAAACTGTCAAAACTAAAACAGAGTGTAGCTTTCATTATATGTGCAAGCCAACTACTTAGCTGTTTGCTGATAGCACAGGGGATTATCGGTGAAATTAGAAGCTACAGAGAACATCTTTTTCAGGGGAGTAAAAAGTTCAGCAAAACGTATGGTTGCCAATAATGCACATAATTTAGAGGAACTGGATTTTGTCTTCCTCCTCCCCCATGAGAAATAAGGGCTGCAAATGGAGTTAACACTGAGAGTGTTAACAGGAAAGCAGAGCTGCATGGCTCTTCCCCAGCCAGCAATTCTTTTAAGGTGTCTCAGCTTTGACCGCAATTTTCAGTTACTCCCATCTCAGGCTGATACTGCCAGATGTTACAAATCACAGCACAGGTGGGGATTGAGGAAAAGGGCAGAGGAGGATTTCTCAGACATGTCCCACTATCCATTACAGAACATGACAAAACCACAATTTTATCCTCAGTGCAACCTGAAAAATTATTCTAAAACCAGATTTTCTGCAGTGAAAGGGTAGTGCATTAAACCATGCATCAGATGTTCAGAGAGTAATAAATATTGGCAGAATATGGATTCTTTTCCCTGGTTGTAGGAAGAGGCCAACACATTTTTCATTAAAATCCTATTCCATTTTTGAGTGGAAGTCTGATGTGCTGCTTTAGCATAGCTGATATTCCTCTGCAGGGGAAGCAGGATGGTGCTAAACAGACAAGTCTGCTCATCCGCTTCACAAACTTTCCACCACCTTCCTCACCAAATATATGTACTAAGCTTTCTTAATCACACTACTCCAAGAGGCATTTTGGCTTTACCTTTTTAAGCAGGTAAGTGACAGGAATGCGCCGACAGAAGAATTCATGCAGTACTTGCATGGCCTATGAAAGTCTGCCTTTTGTAGAAAAATCTAGAAAAAACCCTTAATCGTAACTAGTAACTCATAACTATGGCTAAGGATTCTAAGGAACGCAGTTGTCAAGAGCAGGACAAGGAAGAAAAATAGATTTTACACCACTATTCTGGCAGGACCACAAACAAGATTTAAAAATAACAATAAAAATTTTGGAAGCACTAAAAAATACATTTCAGTGCATTTCAATTATTAACACTGACATAGGTTTTCCAATATGACGAGCTAATACCTTGGACGGACTGCTCCATTTCTTAAGTTATTCTTAAAATTTCACAAAATGTATTAAACATTCAAAAAAAAAAAAAAAAAAAAAAAAAAAAAAAAAAAAAAAAAAAAGCACACTGTCTCTATGCTCAGGCTTCCAAAAAAATAAGGATTATTTTACAGGGAGGGAGGAAACGCAGCATTACCACCACCTAGGCTGTACGCTTACACTTTATGTTACACCAAAAACTTGAAGATCCAAATAAGACTCTGATCAAAGAGTACTCATAACTTAATCTGATGCATACAGAAATGTCTTGTACAAATTACAACCCTTCTAGTTTCCTTGTGACAATCTACTGTAAAGCAAATTTTATCTACATGTATTTTTAAATAACATCACCAGAAAAATAAAAAGTTTATCAAATGAAAACGTTTCAATTAGACCATGCTTTTCTAAAATCATGCTCAATTTATACAATAGTCAAGTTCGTACTCATTTTTATTTTTTCTTTTTTTTTTTTTTTTTTTAAACAAAGATTCAAAACCACTGATTGTAAACTCATTGAGGAGGCTGTAGTTTATTCTGGCTCTTTTTTGATTGTTAGCACTTTTTCCAGAAGTCCATGCACGTCTCCATTCACACCATGTTGATGAGAGGTCTTACTCCCCATATGGCTGTTGTAAGGGCTTCTTAAGTTACTAAAAGGAGTTTTAAGCTCTGCATCAGATGTCAACTCCTCTTTGATTGTAACATGAGTTGAACTATCAGTAAATGCAGGTTCATTCCAGATTTCTTTGTCGTGTGCTTCTTGGCTACTAACAGAGCTGCCGCCCTTCTGTAACATGTAGTACAATATTGGATTGGTTTTGGTCAGTCTCGGAGAGTCTTTTTCATAATCATTCTTGTCCACACCTGTGATCACCCATCTGATGGGCCCTTTTTCACTGGGCATGGGACACACGCTAAACTGGTCGGACTCGAGTCTAGATACTGCACTCCCCAAATGTTCAGGGAAGGGGGAACTGGCAGGACTTTTTACTGCTACAGGATACTGAAATGTTCTATGTTCTACACAATTGTTCTGTTGTGCAGGGCTTCCCATTAATGCATTTACTGAAGAAATGCTGAATTCAGGTTTATTGATTGTTGCACTGGTTTTGTTTCCTTTTTTCTTACCCTCCACTAGTATGTTACTCCTATGTTGTGACAGATCTCTCTCACAGTTCTCTGAGAGAAGCAGCTGTTTCAACACATTAAAGCCTTTACTATCTCTAGACCAACTCCTGTTTTCACTTTCATTATTTGAACCATGACTTACAGCATATTTAAATTCAGCATCACTTCTGCCAAATTTCAGTTCTTGCTGGTTAAGCAAAGGCCTGTACAGTACCTCGGTGGGAGAAGCGTGATTGTTTGCAGCATCAGACACATTACTTTTCATCTTTTTTAATGGACTTTCCAAAGGCTCAGCATGAAGCTTCCTCTTCTTCGGTACTGTGCAAAGACTCTTTGATTCAAGGTGTGTCAGCTCGTTGTTTCGGTGACTTCTGTCCAGCTCATCTGCAGAGTAACTGTCTTGATTCTGTCTCAGCAACCTACTTAGCAGACCGTTTTTGGAAAAAGAGAAATCTTGAGGTGAAAGAGGCTCAGATTTCAACTCCTCGGATGCTGGAGAAGCAGCTGTGTTTCTCTGAAGTGAATGAACAAATCCTTGAAAT